GTGTGTGTGTGTGTGTGTGTAAAGTGCAGAGCACTTTACGAGATTGCAAAAATGGTGCCATTTGTACAAATTGAAGTGTGTGTGTGTGCATATAAGTCTATGAGTTGATGAAATGCCCGTTATTGCAGCATGACTAAACATAAGGAAAGTCTGATTTTGTGTGTATGTGTGTTTGACAAGCCACAGTCCAGACCAGTCTGAGCTAGATTATGAGCTTGCCAGAAACAACTTGTTCAAAGTGGCAATCGACTAGAATTCGTAAAACTAAGTCATCGCTCTGATTCCTTGTTCATCATGTTAGGGTCACATTACATAACAATACATAAGAACAAAATGACACAGACAAGCTAAACTCATCCACTTTCCCACTACAGCATTTTATAGCAATCCACAAGATTATCCAAGTCCTGATGGGCAGCCATTAAACGACCACCGTGGGACAGCAGGCCGCTTGATCTTCACAGATAGAGGAGTGTGATCGAGAGACACAGATGGAACATGGGAGAAACATACAGAGATGTGTTTGTGAGACCATGAGAATCGAAGTGTGAAAAAGCGAAAAGCGGGATGTTAGGGTCACACAGAACCACAGATGGCATTGCTGAGTGTGGGTCAGCAGGAGGGTGTTGGGACAGATGGACAGGCACGAGGCCATATCGGTTATCAGGGTGGTGCAATAATCCACTGCGCTCGCCTTTATCAAAAGTAACTGAACAGCAGAAGTTTGTTTAGTAACAGAAGTCACTGAGATGGGCAGAAACAACCGAGGGTAGATCCTAACCGAAGTCTCCTGAGACAGAAACATTTGTATTTCTACTACTCACAAATTTCTCTAAGATTTAATATACAGGCTAGTAAATGGATCCAGCATTTATAAAAGGCATTTTTTAAAGCCAACAATCCAGTTTACAGTACAGGAACCATTACAGAGCCAAGCGGCCAAACACCACATTGCAGAAGATTATAATGAAATATTATTCATGTTAAGTAGAATGTGATGTTCCGAATGAAATGGATTTCACGGTTAGTAAGATGGTACAGTTAAACAGAGAACAAAATTACCATTCCATTCATTAATTATTCACTTCATACTGAAAATAAATTGAAGTTAAACTTTAGCAAAGTCACACAGTAAAGTTACTTCACAGTACGAGCAAATAAAGTGTAACATTACAAACTAAATATAGTGTAATGTTACTGAGAGAATATTTAGTGTGCATTATCATTACAAAGCGAATTCAGTGTGACATTACTAAAGAGAATACAGGGTAATGTCACAAAGGAATCAATGTAACATAACGTTGATAAAAGATTAGTGCAATATTATGAAAAGAATATATAGTGTTTTAGTGCAACATTACACTGAATTCATAAAGTTACACTGTATTATTTTAGTAAGGTTATGCTATTTTCCCTTTACTATTCTCCTTAGCAACGTTACACTGAATCCTCTTCATAATGATAATGAACACTATATATTCCATGTAACACTGTAATGTTAGTAAGGAAAAAAAAAAGAAAGTAAAGTCATAAATGGAACATAGTGCAACATTACTAAACTAATACAGTCTAATGTTATTAAGAGAATAATTATTGGTTCATGATGAAGAGGATTCAGTGTATTACGTTTTTCAGTGTAATATAAATATAAGAACTGAATACAATTAAACGTTGTTGAGAGAAAAAAAACAGCGATAAGAGACTAGCTAGCGTAACGCTGTAACAAATAGTGTACCATTAGGTGTAAGATTCAGTATAATATTACTAAAAAAATAAAGTGTTAATAGGAGGATTTAGAAAACACAATTGTAACATTAATCAAGAGTAAGCACACGGTAACCTTGTATCGTGAATACAGTATGAGGAGAGTCGAATGGAGAATCAGAATTAACGTACGTCGGTTACATTCGCCTGAAGTCAACGACGCAGCGGACACTGCATCGACCTGCCCTCACTCTAATATTCCCGGTTTCTTTACCAACTGCTGTAAAAAAAAAAAAAAAATCTACAGGCCCTCACTACTCGTCCCTGCTTCGGTAGATAAAGGCAAGGTTAGCTTGAAATCTGAAACTCCCATCGCTGGTATGAAGGCTGTCCAAACCCCGGGGCCACTGCCGTGTTTGTAAACAGGGCGCAGAGACCCGAAGCTTAGCTCTCGCTTTACGCGCACAATTCCCCATTCACCAGCAGAAAAACAGATAAAGACGAGTAGCTAATTACCGTGTATGTTTATATAAACGTTAAAATGCCTTCACGTCCAAACAGCTTACCTTCAAGAAGCCGAGAAATGAGACTGTCCACGTTCAATTCCCCCTCCGCCATCTTCAGTGCCGAGTTCTGCATGCAGCGCTTCCAGCAACGGCCGCTAAGTGGCGCTCGCAATGACGTCATTCACTTGGTTACAAGCGGTAACGTCAATTTTAATAATCTCTTCATGAATATTTAATCGCTTTGAGGGCAAACTTTTGACCTGTTGAAAGCAACTTAATTGTTAATGGTATTTTCTATTGTTTAACGTTTGGCGAACTGTGTATTTGGTTTCCCTTCCAGGAGGATTTTTATCAGAGTACGTTTACTTTTGGCATTTAGTACGGCGACCGAGAAGTGCTAACCAAATCACAATTCTGAAAACAAAATAACAAATTACAAACGCAAATGCAAGTCTAAAAAACAAAATAACAATTCAGAAAACACAATAACAATTCAGAAAACATTATAACAAGTCAGAAAACTGTGATACGAGATTTGAAAAGGGAGAAAAAAAAGTTCGGCACAAGGCGGGATTGAACCCAGATCGATCACATCAAATAGCCAACGACACACGCTTATCGCGCTTATCCGTCTGCGCCACTGGAGCTGATGTTTTACAGCCACTTATAACTAAATGTAAATATACACTCCGTATTTTTTATTCCATAGTAAGGGCAATTCATACAATACATTTAAACTGAGCTACTTTAATACCATCTCCGAACTTTCTACCAGGACTCTGCTGTTCTTCGGCTGGTTCTTCCCTGTATACGTTGATTGACAGATGTCTCGTCCAGTCAGCGGTGAGTAATCCCAAACCAATGGCGCTGTCTCAAACTATACCTACCTTTTCCGGTTTGTCTGATTTGTCGTTGTGTTTTCTGACTTGTTAATTTGTTTTCGGATTTGTCGTTGTGTTTTCTGACTTGTTATTTCGTTCTCGATTTTGTCATTGTGTTTTCTGACTTGTTATAATGTTTTCTGAATTGTTGTTGTGCTTTATGAATTGTTATTTTGCTTTTTAGACTTGCATTTGCGTTTGTAATTTGTTATTTTGTTTTCAGAATTGCGATTTGTTTTGCACTTCTCGGCCACCGTAAATGAACTTAATTTATAAGCAAATATATGTGAGGTAGAAGTGTTTGTGT